AGGATGCAGACAGGACTAACAGTGGAAGGGCTTGCTTCCATGCTGAAATTCTGACTCTAGGACTTTGATTTGAATTGCATCAGCTGCAAAAAGAGTCTGAGCCCACTCTTAGGAAGGATGCCTTGTCCATCCATCATCAATGCCTAGGGTAAGCTCTCCTTCACCTTGGACTGGTAAACAGATTTTGTGGCTAAACAGGCCTGAAGTTTTATGGAGCTTCCATCAAGTGTACTGGAAGACTGAAGAAATAGATTTGATTGATGTGTGGGAGCAGGAAGAATACAAAAGAAAAAGAGAGAGAGATTTGCAGAGTTCAGGAAAGATAGGAGAGATGGAAAAACAAAACAACTTATAAAAAAATCAAAGGAGCTGAAATAACAAATAAACTCCATTATTTATATAAATAACTATTATCCCCTGGAGTGTAGATAAGCTTGTTTTACTAAGCAGTCTTTTCATATTTGACATGAAACCACATAAACAAGACCCAGAGCCATAATTAGGTGCAGAGCTCCACGACAGCATCAGATCTGTTGATCTTTTATGATGAGAAGAACCAGTCTTCTCTGTGGTGCAGAAGAGGGTACCGCTCAAGCTTCCACCAAGGTGCTCACTCTCACCTCTAGGCTCTTCTTCCACTGCCATGAATTATTTCTGGAGCTGAATAAAGTATCATATAAGTAAAAGACGTGATAGATATATGGAACAAGTGTCTCTTTTATAGTGATGCTTACTCGCTGACGGGGCAGAGGCAATGCCGTGGCAGAGGGGAGCGGGGCACAGAGCAGCGCTCCCTGCCGCCTGCGCAGCCCCGGGCGTGGGCTGCGAGCATGGGGCTGCCGTGTAGGGAAGGTAATTAAACGGCTCCTATCACTTTACCCTGTGCCAGTAGAACTTCGGGAATTTTCACTGAACAGTTATACCGCAATTGCGAAGTCGAGGTTAAAAGAGAAGGAAATGTCTTAAGAAAAATCACTGCAGTCATTTTGGCTATGAAATTGCTACACTGAATGATTCTCGAGTAATTTTCTCTTCGTTCTTACAAAGCTTAGGGTGGGAGTACATCTAGGAGAAACATCTGAACGTCCGCGAGGCTCCGTGAGGCCCCGCAACCCCGCAGCGGCAGAGGGAAGCAGCACTCGGGGTTATCTGAAGCGGCATCTCTGTGTCCGACCAGCCCCGAGCGGGAGGGCAGCATCTCCTCGCGGTGAGGCTCCGCTGGAACAGCCGCGGCCCCGAGCGCTGCCCCCGGCCCGGCCCGGAGGGGAATCGTGCCCTCCGGCGGCCACCGGCAGCACAGCCCGGCTGGGCTTCCCTGCCGCGAGTCTGGCGGCTCTGAACCGGCCGCAATTAATGGGAAGAGAGGAAAATGGGGAAGAAGGCTGTCACAGAGCATCTGAAGGAATTAAAACCTCAGCCCACGGAAATCAGTGGGGAAACTTCAACTGATTTCAACCAGCTTTGAACTTCTCCTGAAAGATATATCTGGAAGTGCATGTCCTCAGCCGTGCAGTCTGTGTCTGAGCACACACATAATGCCATGATTGCATTGTTGAATATCCCAAGAAATCCTCACCAGTGAGAGAACTCAGTACATTACCACCACGCACAGCCTTCCCAAGCTAAATTACAGCATGTGTGTGTGCCATATGGGTAACACTGAGCAGCCTACTGCAATACGGCTGTAATTTGCGTGTATGCAGAATAACACACTGATGGGCAACTTTGTACGTGTAACCACCATGCATAGTTCTTAAGCATAGTTCACATAAGTTCTTAAATTTTCCCGCTGACTTACAAACAGGCAGATGAAATGAGAGCTTCCATTCATTCCTCATCTTGAAATGAAGAACCACATTGGCAGCCCACTCCCCCTGAAAGCGGGGAGGCTCACTGGCTGCAGTGGGGCCTGTGTGTTCCAGTCTGAGGATGTCTTAGCAGCCAATGATACTACACAGGGATTGAGATACTGGTGGGGAAATCTCATCAGTGTGCCTCCCTACAATCACTCAAGTGGATTTTGTTTCCAGAGACACACGACTGAGACCACAATGAGAGTTAAAGCCCAGTTCATTGTGTTGCTCTGCTGACATTATCCCCCAGTTCATCTGCCTGGGAGCTCAGCATTTGTGTAGCTTTGTGTTTACATCCCAAGCTGTAATTGGAGTTGTCATTATAGCTGTGATGTATTGACATTAGTATACCTGATTTTGTTTTGTCCTGACTGCACTCTATGAAGGGCTAGACATTAGAAGCATGTCTTCTGGGGCTAAGATGCAGAAAGGCCATACAAATGGATGTGTGTTGACCGAAAAAGGCCCTGGAAAATCTCTGGGGTTGCTTGCAGCTTTGTTTGCTGCCTCCAAAGACTGAAGAATGGCTGAGAGATGTCTGAGGAGCCAGAATAGTGCCCACCCACACCATGCCTCCACATAGCAGAGAGCAGGACAGGTATCCTTCACTCAGTGCTTCAGGGAAGCCTGCAGGGCTGCCTTCCTGACTGCTGGAGGATCCAGGTGTGCTCCCACTGGCAGCCTAGAAGCAGACAACCTGAACTCAGCACAGTTTGCATCATGGGCTCAGTTTCCTTTGCTTCACAGCAAGCTAGTCCAAGATAAAACAAAAACCTAGTAGAAAATGATGCAGATTGCTGCAGTGATCGCTCATGCAGTGTGCAGGTCCCAGGCGCCATGTAGAATCTTTCAATTATTGCTGCTTGCTTTGCTGCAGCTTGAGTGGAAGAAAGAAAGGAAGGAAGGGAGGAAGGGAGGGAGGGAGGGAGGGAGGAGAGAGGGAGGGAGGGAGGGAGGGAGGAGGGAGGGAGGGAGGGAGGGAGGGAGGGAGGGAGGGAGGGAGGGAGGGAGGGAGGGAGGGAGGGAGGGAGGAAGGGAGGGAGGGAGGAAGGGAGGGAGGGAGGAAGGGAGGAAGGGAGGAAGGGAGGAAGGGAGGAAGGGAGGAAGGGAGGAAGGGAGGAAGGGAGGAAGGGAGGAAGGGAGGAAGGAAGGAAGGGAGGAAGGAAGGAAGGGAGGAAGGAAGGAAGGAAGGAAGGAAGGAAGGAAGGAAGGAAGGAAGGAAGGAAGGAAGGAAGGAAGGAAGGAAGGAAGGAAGGAAGGAAGGAAGGAAGGAAGGAAGGAAGGAAGGAAGGAAGGAAGGAAGGAAGGAAGGAAGGAAGGAAGGAAGGAAGGAAGGAAGGAAGGAAGGAAGGAAGGAAGGAAGGAAGGAAAAGGAGGCAATCCTTACCTTGGAGCTGCAGCTTCTGACATAAAGGAACCGCAACATTTCCCAGGCGGGTCATGGTGTTGAGGTGCTGGCAGAGGGCTGCTGGTCTCAGCAACCACAGCAGGGACAAGTGAACAGTGGGGAAGGTGTGCTCGTTCCATGTGTGCTTTCCCTCACCTGCTAAGTCCTCCTGTTTCTTGCCATCCTGTTCTTTACTATCTCCCAATAGAGAAAAGCTAGGATAGGCAGTTGCTTTCTCTCTCTACCGTCTGGAAGTCCGGTGGGGGCAAGCTTTCCCGGCAGGGTAGGGGGAGGCAGCTCCTGACCGCGGCGGGAGGCTCCGAGCGCTGCGGTGGGGCCGGGCCGGGCCGCACTGAGCCGGGGCCGTGCTGTGCCTTCGGCGGCGGCTGTCTCGGGGTCCTGGCTCCTCGCAGAGGGGAAAGAACCCGCAGGCAGCGGGAACAAACGGTTCTTTTCTCCCTGAGCAAGAAGCCTCTTTTTTTTTGTTCTTTCTCTCCTTTTTTTTTCTTTCTTTCCCCCCTGGGATTTCCCCCTCACCCTCAGCCATAGCACTCCCCGTTATTCAGTTATTCAATCCGCCTCGTACACCCACTTAAGTCGCTGCCGGGGAGTGTTGCCCCAGCGCTACTGTTGGGGTTCCCCAGCCGTGAAAGCGGCCGTGCGGTGCCTTCACAGGGAGTACCAGCGGTGCACGGCCCTGGCTACTCCCGGCTGGCAGCTTCTGCCTTTCTCTTATACGCTTTCCCCGTTCGAACGTGAGCTGTTGTTAACAAGATATACCACCTGCTCGGTGCTGCCAGCAAGCCGGGACAGAGACACAAAGGCGGGGGATGGGGAGAAATTGCTTTGCCTACTAATATAATTGAAAATAAATACGCTCGGTTCCCAGGAACAAATTCGGGTGCCTTCGAGGAGGGCAAACTGAAATGTGCGATCAGGGGATACATGGAGCTGGCAAAGAGTCCCATCACCGCAGTGCCAGGCTAGGCTGGAAGGATGCGGATCCTGCCCAGAGTCCTCCTAAGACAAGCGCAGGCACTAACGCCTGTGTCCGAAACCAGTGCTGAGCTCCCCTGCCGCTTCGAGCCCTGCATATGGCTTTCTCCGAGAGCAGTCCTCCAGTCTGACAGGACGGGGCTGTCCCTTTTCCTCTTCCCGGCCCAGAAATGTGCGGCCGCCTCAGCAAGCCGGACTTTGAGGGGGGTCGGAGATGGGAGCGGGACACAACCAGGATGTGCCTGGATGCTCCCCGCGGGGACTTTCCCCTTCCTCCCCCTTTTGCAGTTAGCCGTGCCCGCTGCAGCAGGGAACGTCCGAGATTTTGAAGCAGTGCCCCGGTGCTGCGAGGCAGCCCCCCTGGAGCGGTGCACACCGAGGCTTTAGGCCCCTTCCGCCGCCCCACACCGGGCACCCCACCACCTTCCCGGCCCCCAGCAGTACCCCCCAACCGAGAGCGAGCCGAGGGAGTCTGAGAGAGAAATAGCGGAGAGGGGAGAGGAGAAAGGGGCTGGGATAGGGGTATGCGTGTGCCGTGGGGGGGTGGGGGGGTGGGAGGAAGGCCGAATCACTTGTGAATGGCTTGAAAAAAATAATCGGGGGAGGGCGTGGAGGGGGGGAAGCGGAAACTTTCCTATAAAACTCAGCAAAAGTCCCTCCTCTCCACGTCAGGCCAATGACACTGCTGCCCCCAAACTTTCCGCCAGCAGGAGCTATAAGAACCTCCAAGTCTTCAACTTTCTCCCAATCCCAGACACCTCGAAGGGGCTCCAAGGAGGGATCGGGAGGGATTTTTTTTTAATTTTTTTTTTTTTGCTCGGCATTTTTTTTCCTCCTCTTGGATCCCGATGCCATCCCCCCTCCCCCCAAAGTGAGGTCCTCCCTCCCTCCCTCCCTCCTCCTCCTTCTCCTCGCAGGCCAGCGAAGCAGCCGCTCAAGGGGGAGCTGGCGGGTTAGGTGCCCCCCTCTTCTCCCTGCCCTCCCCCCCCTCCCGGCCCGCTTCTCGCGTCTCCCCCCAGAGATGATGCAGCAGGACGAGTCAAACTCGCCAGTCTCCCCCGCCGACGACAGCTTGAGCAACAGCGAAGAGGAGCCGGACCGCCAGCAGCTGCCCAGCGCCAAGAGGGGGGGCCGCAAGCGCCGCTCCAGCCGGCGCAGCGCCGGGGGCGCCGTCGGGGCCGCGGACGAGCCCTGCAGCCCGGCGCAAGGCAAGCGGGGCAAGAAGTGCGGGGCGGGCGCGGGAGGCGGCGGCGGCGGCGGCAGCAGCAGCGGCGGCGGCAGCCCGCAGTCCTACGAGGAGCTGCAGACCCAGCGGGTCATGGCCAACGTGCGGGAGAGGCAGCGCACGCAGTCCCTGAACGAAGCTTTCGCCGCGCTGCGGAAGATCATCCCCACGCTGCCCTCGGACAAGCTGAGCAAGATCCAGACCCTCAAACTGGCGGCCAGGTACATCGACTTCCTCTACCAGGTCTTACAGAGCGACGAGCTGGACTCCAAGATGGCAAGCTGCAGCTATGTGGCCCACGAGCGGCTCAGCTACGCCTTCTCGGTGTGGAGAATGGAGGGCGCCTGGTCCATGTCCGCATCCCACTAGCAGGCGGCTTTCTCCCCCACGCATCCCCCCGGCAGGAGCCCTAGGTAAGGCGGGGACCCCCAGAACGGCGGGGAAAGGCGAGGGGGCAGCGTCGTGAGTAGCCACGCGTGCCGGGGGGGAGAGAAGGAGGAGGGGGCCTGCTAGTCCCGAGGAGCCCGGCCTGCAGCGGGGAGAACGGGGCCGCTACGCGGGGCTGCCACCTCATATGCAGGTCCCACGCGCGGCGGGGCGCTGCCGCGGGGGTGGGTGGGCTGCGGGCGGGGACGCGGGGCGGATGCGGCCTGAGCGCTGCGCTGCGGGACTGCGGGTGGCTCCCGGCCGCGAGTGTTCGGGCGAGGACCCACGCGAGGCCCATGGAGAGTTCCTCGCTGCCTCAGCAGCCGTGGGGACTCCCGGAGCCGCCACACCGCGGGCACAGCACGGGCACGCGTCTCGCATCCTTTAGGCTCTCACCGTGCTTGTGTTTGCGGAGACAGTGAGGTGTAGAGGGCTCTGCGCATACCTTTCATCGTCAGTAACGAGTTTTCCGCCCTCTTTGGGTTTTTGCAGATTACATTGTTCCCACAGAAGGAGAAAATGGACAATCTAGAGACTCTGAAGTTGGATACCGTGTTGTGTTGTTGTTGTTCTTGTCTTAAAAAAAAAAAAAAAAATGTGCCAAGAATTTCTTGGAAATTAAAAGAGCAGCATCCAAAGTGAAAGCAGGGCGTGGGGAGCACTTAAGGAAAGTGAAAGAGCCGAGGGCTTGGACAGTGCCTATCCGGTGGGCGTCGGTACAATCCACACATCTCTGCATTCTGATAGAAGTCTGAAGCGTTCCAATTTTTTTTTTTTTTAATTTTGACGAAGAATGTTGGAATCTATCTTTTCCTTTTTTTAATTTGCCTGTTTTTAGGTGGCTTTTTTTGTTGTTGTTGTTTTTTATGTTTTGTTTTTTTTTTGTTGTTGATTTTTTTTTTTTTTTTTTTTTTGTATTGTTGCTGTCGTTTTGGCTTTTTTTTTTTTTTTTTTTTTTTTTTTTTTTTTTTTTTTTTAATGCATGCATTTCCAAGAGGTCGTGCCTATGAGCCACTGAAGAGAGGAAGTACGTTATTGTGGACTTTACTTCATTCTTGAGTGAAAGCAAACACCCAACCAAAGTATTCCTGTAGAGATGAAAACTTGTTTTGTTTTGTTTTTTTTTTTAGGGGGGAATAAGCTGGGCTCGAGCTGTTATATACCCGGTTCCTAATTTTTTTTTTAATTATTATTATTTTTCCTCTGAGAAAAAAAAATAAACATTTTATTTATTTATTGATGACCCATGTTAAAATGCAAATAGATCCGGTGTCTAAATGCATTCCTATTTTTATGATTGTTTTGTAAATATCATTGTATATTATTTTTCTGCAATAAAGAAATATGATTGAAATTTTAACAACCTTCAGGTTTGGTCTCTCTGAGAACTCCGGCTGGGAGCTGGAGATAAACACCCGCTAGTTGGGCTTAAAGGCACCCAAGAGAGAGGGGCCACAGTATAAACAAACCAGGCGAAAAACGAAAATAAACCGGCTACTGACAGACACAGGCGCTTTATTTATTGGGACAGCTTTATTATTGCACACCGAGGCTTTGGGGCACGGTGGACTCCCTCCTCCCTGTCCGTGCCCTAGGTGGGAGGCAGGAGCCCATCCCCAAGCGGCTTTGCCCATATCCTTCAGCAAAAGATATCTGTTTTAAGCAGAGATCCGTCCATTCGCAGGCAAAGAGAAAGTGAGTTTGCAATAGGGAAGTGCCTAGCGAGTGGAGTTTTCCGGTGGAAGTGATGTCTGACTGCTCTTGCTCTCTAGGGTCTTCCATATAATATATAGACTGGCGATCACGTTCTCGTTGTGCAACACACGGGGATGCGCTAACCCGCCCTCTTCTCTTCTACACATAGGGCGCGGCGAGACCCCCGTGTAAGAGAGAGGAAATCTCCAGACCTGAGGGCTCAGGAGGAAGGTGAAAAGAGGAAGATGCTCAAACAGCAACAAAAAATACCAAGAAAAAAAAACACCCCCAGCCCTTAACACCCGCAGCTGATTCCTCCTCTGCTGTCCCTCGCTCATTTCCCGGCTCCCCTATCCCCCTTTCTGCTCCTCCGCGGAGGCTGCGCGGGTGCGCAGTGCTGCCTGGAAACCTTGCAGAGCCCCCCTGCGGAGCCGGGGTCGGGCAGCCGGGACTCAGCCGGTGTCCAGGGCAAGGAGGATGGGGCATTTGTTCAAAGCAGAGCCTGTTTGCGTAGCCCAGGTTCAGTTGACTTTATTGCTTGAATGTTTTTGTTTCCATATCCCCATATTACCTTCTATTGCTGACATAACAGTCTAATGAATTTAATATCGTGCATATTTTAGGCCAGTGAGCAATGTTTACAGTAGAGAGCCCGCAGCGCTTGTTTGTATTGCCGGATTAGCGAGGACGTGGAAATTGAATGGGGGCCGCGGTGGTCGCGGACCCGCTGTGAGCTCCCGAGGGGCTTTGCCTCCCCCGCGGCCCCTCTGCTCCTCTGCACCTCGCCGGAATCCTCGTCCCGCTGTGGGTCGCCGCTGGGAGGTAACGTGTGGCTGCGGGAGCAGAGGGGCAGCGGGGCTGGGAGACGTGAGCGGGGAGAGGGAGTCAGCGTTCTTTACGGGACAGAATCACAAAGGAGGGAAAGGGCTCCTTTAGGGAGAGTGGCTCGTTTAGGATGAAGCAGATTGGGAAATGAACGGGGAGAAATGATGCTCGTTGCGCTTTGCGCGCGGGGTTACCTGCGGGATACGAGGCGAGGATCCCGACGCGTTTACGAAGCCATGAGACACGCTCTGCTAACCCGGAGAAACGGGCCGAGCTATCCAGAGCAGCTCCGCTTGTTGAACTCCAGCTGGACTGACTCCATCGCCAAACTGCGTGCAGTGGGTGAGAAAATCCCCTATAGCTGTCCGTGGGTCCCACACGGCCCTGGGGACACCCGCCTTACCGTGGGCTCCCGCGTTCTCTCCCTGCTGCTGAATGCCACCTCCGCTTCACTAAAAGGAGATAATCCCGATTGAAAAACACAAATGCGACCTTTCCTGGTTTGGAGCTGGGGATTGCGTAGGCCTGGCTCTCCTAGAGCTTGAGCCAAAAGTGATTAAGCTGGAGTTAGGCTTCCTCAAAGGGGGAAAAATATATTGATGAATATTAATTCCTCTTCTGGGAATTTTAAACATTCTCGCAGTCAGCAAATTAACTTTGGAAGTACTGATTGATTTTGCTTCTCTCTCCGAGGCACCGCTACGGGAGTCCTACTTACTCACATACACGCGAACCCGTGCGGAGAGGAGCTCCGGGCCCATCACTCCCCGCTCACCTCCCCGGCCCGGCCGCACCGGCTGTCCCGGAGTGCTGGGAGCGGAGCAGAACGAGAAGAGGGACCCGGAGCTGCGCCTCCTGCGGGGCGGGGGGCGCCGGCCGCTGGCCTCGCGCATTCCTCGGTTTGGCAGGGGCCGCCCCGCTGCTTTCTCCAGGCCGGTATCGGGTTCCTCCCAGGCGTATGATTTCACTTGAAGTCCTGCCCAGGAGCCCTTCAAAGCGCACGCTTGTCCCGCTCCTATGATGTCAGGCGGTTTTCCCTGCATCTGTAATTTTAAGCAAAACAAACAAACGCGAGGTAGGGGTGGGGGGTTGAGAGGAGGGTACAAAAATCAAGGAAACGACGCGGAAAGCTCCGGGGGCAGAGGGGCTCACCTGCGGCGCCGGCAGCGCCGGCACCTGCCGCTCGCAGAGAGCTACCGCTGGGTCCCGTAGCTCCGGAGAGGGGTGGGGAAGGGGCTCTGTTCCCTGCACGACCCCCCAAGAGCTCAGCCGCAGCTCTTAAGGCGCAGCCCTCACCTGCCACGGCGGGGAACCGACCGCTCCGCCATCGACAGGCGTCTTGGGGTAGTGGGAGTGGAAAGCCACCCCACAGAAAGTTGCGGGTGGCTGAGGGGAAAAAAGAGGCTTCAGCACCCACGTTCCACTAGGACTCGTTTTATTTGCCGCACAGCGTTAGCTGCCCGCAGTAAACGTGGCACAGGATGTATTTCGCATTAACTCGTGCACCAGCTTCTCTCGGCTTCAGCCCACTTAATGTTCCTGGCAAATCAAAGCACGTGTCCTTTGAAGAAGGTGTGTAATTGGAGTTTAAGGCATGTATGGAATTCCCAGATGTCTATAAAATACGCAGGAGCATTTGGCAGGTCACTGGAAGGTGGAGCAGGTTACAATCAAGAGTACAAATGTCCCCTTTTCTTTTTTAAATGCAGCTAAGAGGCCGCGTATAAAAAAAAGCGTCCGAGATTGCGAGTTTTACAGAACGGGAACAATAAAGCAGCGGAAATATAATAGTGACAATAGCACCCATCCGAAAATCCGAACCAAACGCAAAACAAAACCAAACATTCAAAGCAGGAAGAAAGCTGCATGTCCACACCGCAAGTCTCGGTCTCTGCCCGCTTAGCAGCTCCGAACCCTCTTGTTGAGGCTGGGCTCTTGTGGGGAACAACACTTCCTCATTGCTTTCAGAAAGATGTCGTAATATATTTGCAGCAACTTCGTGAAAGTTCTCCCGTGCCGCGCAAGGACGCGTTTCTCTCTGAAATTGTTCTGACGAACCACGCGGAAATCAACAGTGCTGCGATGATAACAGCAGTTAACAATAGGAATAAAAAATAACGCTATCGGGTTTGGATAATGAAGCACTCATTATGTGGCTTTACAAACGTTGGAGCAACACTGCCGAGTTCGGGGATGCTGCTATCCCTCTCGCTGCCGTGCGAGATCCCCACGCACAGAGTTGCGCTGGAAGGGGACCCGCTGCGCTCTCCTAAAGAGGGGAGACCTGGAGCCAGGGGCTGCTGGGACGGATGAGTCGGGAAGGGCCGGGGTCGCCCCCTCATGTTTAGGGCGGCTTTGTTCTGTTTGGGATGGATGAGGCAGGGTCATTAACCGAGCAGTCAAGAAAGGAGCGATCCGCACACTGCAGCAGTGGGGGAAAGGGGATCTTCGGAGGGGAAGGGATTTTGACATGTGAAAAGTTAAGCAGGTACCTGAAGGAGGTTTATTTTGACCAGATGTTGGAGCTTTGTGAGAATGTCACGTGAATGGAACAGATGTACAACTAGCAAATGGAGCCCCGCCTTGTAAATATGGGCAGAAAACGGCTCTCGGAAAATCAAGTGTAAATCATTTCATGCTATTTTATACATGTGTGTATTTATGCATATATTCCTTTTAAATTGTTTGCTCATTGGAAGGAAAACGCAGATGTTCGATCCAAATGTTGTACGTTCTTCCAGTGTGCCAAGTCAAACTTCCTTCCTTCCTTCCTTCCTTCCTTCCTTCCTTCCTTCCTTCCTTCCTTCCTTCCTTCCTTCCTTCCTTCCTTCCTTCCTTCCTTCCTTCCTTCCTTCCTTCCTTCCTTCCTTCCTTCCTTCCTTCCTTCCTTCCTTGTCCTTTTTCTCTTTTTCTCTTTCTCCTTCTCTATTTTTTTTCTTTTTTTTTCCCACTTTCTTTTCCTCTTTTCCTTTCTTTCTCTCTTTCTTCCTGACTCTTCCTCCCTTCCTTTCTCCCTCTCTTTCCCCAGTTTTCTCTCTCTTTTCATTTCTCTCTCTCCTTTTTTTTATTATTTTTCCCCTTTATTCTTTCTTGCCCATCGACCCCCTCCTTTAGTCTCTCGTCCGTTTGATCCCAACTAAAGTATCGGATCTCTGCTGGGAGGAGAAGCTGAGACTAATCAATTGCCATCTGTTTGAAGGTGCGCGCAGCCTGCCAGGAGGATCGAGGCAGCGCCGCACTGCCAGTCCCGAGCCCTGGGGCCGCCTGGCTCTGCCGCGCTTCGGCCCCCGCGCCGCCGCCAGAAGCGGAGCAGTGCGGACTGCGGCACCGGGGGCTGGGAGAGGCAGAGCAGCGGCTGTCCAGGAAATAAAGGGCGGTGCTCAGCTGGAAAGGCACAGGTTTTCAGGAGAGCACGCTCAGCCTTTCGCTAGCTGCAAGCTCTCCATCCCTGAGTGGTTTCCATATATGTTTACATACCGTTATTACTATTTTCCGGAAGGACTTGAGGCATTTTCATTTAAAAACGATGTCTCGCGTTCCATCCCGGTGCCCGTGCTATGAGTCCCGCCGCACGCCGGCAGGTAGCAGAGAGATGTCCCCCCGCGAACCCCATAGTGCAGGTCCTCAAGAAAAGGGTCCACTGGGGGAGGAGGGAGGCATTCGGAGCTCTGCGGACACCTGCCCGTGCGCCGCATTATTGACTTACAAGAAATTTCGATGCGCTGTGAATACGCCTTGCTTATTCCTTCAAACCTATTTATTCCAAGTGGGTGCCTGGTTACGTTGTCATATGTTAACTCTGAACGGTGGTGGAAGAAAAGTTCTCACCGAACTTTTCCAGAC